TTGAAGTTGGTGTCAAGGGAGAGGAAAATGATGATGTTGATGTTGAGTAGGAAGATGTTGATGTTGAGGAGAAGGATGTTGAGGAGGAAGGCCGATGAGGCCAGAACGCAGACATACACTTTGCGCGAGCCTGGGCAGTCGAAATGCATTTCAACATGTCACAAGAGCCGCACCATACGGAAATTTACAGGTAACACGCCGCAGACCAGAGTGAGGAGCACCCAGATCAGGCACCTGCCTTTACACCTACCGTAAGAACCCCTCAGTGTGGACAAACTGTTTGGGGAATCAAAAGACAGACTGCAACTGCCTGCAAGCATGTCACTTCTGGACTTCTGGACCTGTCGCTGGCCCGGGCACACGGGCACCCGGGCACAACCCGATCCACGGGCACACAAGCACACGGGCACAACCCGATCCACGGGCACACGGGCACACGGGCACACGGGCACACGGGCACAACCCTGATCCACGGGCACACGGGCACACGGGCAAAGCCCACCAGAGAACCAACCTCATCAGGGGATGTTGATGTGGGAAGTTGTGGGTGATGGAAGTCGAATAAGTGGAATAGTTGTGGTTGAGATCTCACTTTTGGCAAAAGTGTTGTGGAACGATTTGAAATACATTGAAAGATGTGTCTTGAAAGCTTTCTAGACGGGGTTTAGTGACATTCTCGTTGGGTATGCCCAACCGACATTGAAATATGGCAAGCTCCAAGTGATGCGGTCGCAAGGTCCTAAGGTGCGTCATCAGCCCGGGTCCCGGGTGGCCACCCACTGCCATGCACCACCTGCTACGGTGTCACGTCCAGGCCCATCAGCTCTATCTCCGCGAGTTGCGTGGCCTGGAGGCCTCTGCAAAGGGTCACTCGGGAACAGTCGATGACACCATCTGGCTCCAGGTGGTAGTCGCTGCTTGTGGATTTTGGAGTCCCAAATGTCCGTCAGAAAGTTTTGGTCGCCTTTAGTTGAATTCCATCAGTGGACATCTTCACTGTATATTCATGCATCTAGATTTTGCAACAAGAACAATTTTTGATCTGATAATCTGATACTGTAATTTTCCATATTTTTCCTATCTTTTTGTTTTCGGTATCATGGCGTTCGGTGTTGCAAGTTCAGGCTTGCTTGCAATCTGGCGCGAGCGTGAAATCATTGAGCCCGTTGCCAACACATGTGTTCCACACCCCGAGATCCACAAAACTTTCAGCCCGCTCGGTGCCTTCTCTGCAGGAGCTGCATGGTCCGGAGCACGCAGAGACCCGAGCGAGTCGCCGCAACCTGGAGCGATTCCAACGACAGCACGGGCCAATTGATTAAAGGCGCTGTGAGACCAAAATTTCCCCCCAAGACATTCACAGGCGATATGCTCGAATCGGTTTCAATCTTTACCAAGATGTTTGGATTATTTTGATGGAAAGCTGGCCTGTGGCCTTGTCTTTTTCCCACTGTCAAGGATTTTGTTTCTGAGGCAGCAAGTGGAGGCATGCTTGAGTTTCTCAAAGTTCTGCAGTTCAGATTTTGTTCAGAACATGTTTGACCGATAAAGAGACGTTTGAGTTTTTGCCCAACTTGTTGCAGTTTGGGTTTGGGAATGGATTCGCATGCCAGCTTCTCCCAGAAGTATAGCAACATTTTTCCAACAAATTGCATTAGTATGCCTGTGGGATTTGTGGTTGATTCACTTTAGAAAGTTCTGCATTTTCCACCAAGTCTCCATTGACTCGCAGGCATATCAGCATCTTCCAGCCCGTGACCCTGCATCGCATTGAGCCGCAAGCTATCATCATCAATATCTCCTGTTTCACTGAGATCATCTGAGATCTATACCCGAAATCGGAGCTTCGAATTTCCAATCTGTCCAAACAGGGCGCGTCTCGATTTGACCCCCACAGTACTCGAAGTCTGCAGACTTGGCGTCTGGGATCGGATCACTTCCAGAGTCACAAGGTCAGGGCCTCTGATAGTGTTGCCCAGCAATTGTTGGCGCAAAAACAATGATTTGTTTTCATAATTTAGATTTATTTATGTGTCATGTGTTATGATGTGTTCTGTCTTTTTGGCAACCTCAGCTGCTTCTGGTCATGCGCATGTCAACCGTTCGACTTTGGTGTTCAAGCCTTTTGCCAGCAACATCCAGCAACTGATCTCTCGTCAAGCCAGTGAGGCAGTGAGTGCCTGTAACTTTCTTGGCCAACCTACTCTGTTCATGTGCCAAACTTCCTTTATATCCACACGTGTCGATAAGACCCGGAATTGGTTCCCAATGAATTTTGAAACATCTTCAAACTTTTTTGGGCCGGGGTTTCTCCTCCGACTTAAAACCTGATTTGTTTCCTCCTTGGAAGAGGCTTAGTTATGAGTGAAACTTTGGGGTCAGGACGTGCCTGTGGAGCCCAAAATTTCCTACATCCAACATGGTTGTTAACAGCTATACCCCAGCCGGTCATGCATGTCAGGATTTGTAAATAATTAGTCAAGACATCCAGAAGTTTTGTGCCTTAAACATCTTAAAATCCACTTCATCCACTAGTCCGGCAGCGCTTTTGAGCCTGTGATGTGGCGCCGGGCCATGGCGGATCAAGAGGCCGCTGTTCCTTTGGCAGGAGACGAAGTGGGATGGACCTGGAAGTAGGGCATAGGCTGCTGAATCTCATGAGGTTGGTGGAGTTGCACCCAAGAGCATTGATCAACCTTCAAACATGATCTCTCGGTCTTGCTCTGGCTTTGGAATGTGGTCACCATTCGGACATATTTGGATTTGCAATCGACGTAGATCATGAGGGTGACTTCCATTTTGCAGGGTGCCAGCGCAGGGATTTCGGTGGTTTCATCTGAAAACAGTCTAGTTGACTGGAATGTGAAGTGGAGATCCACAATTTTTGATGATTGATCTTGCATGTGATTGCCGTAAGGTGGCCCATGTTTGTGAAAATCTACTGGCCCCCAGCCCCCAACTGTGAAGACATCTTCAACATTGAAACATTTTTTGCGTGGAAAGCTCGCGCCCCAAAAATGGATGAGGGATGCCTTTCATGGCAGACATGGTCTCAACATTAAAGCCCGTTTTGGCTGAATCATAGTGCCCCCAACTGGATGCCCTTCATGACCGAAGACACCACTTTTTTGTACAGGACTATCGCCCCGAAATGAATGCATTCTCTGACAGGCATGTTCTCAACATTGAAACCTGTTTTGCCTGAAACAGAATGCACCCGAAATGGATGCCTTTCAGCAAAGATTTTTTAATTCTCAGCGTGAAACCTATTTTTTGTTGAAACCTGATGCCCCCCAAAACCAATGCCTTTCATATCAAAGATGTTGTCAACATTGAACCTTTTTTGTTTGACACAATGCCCCCAAAATGGATGCCTTTATGAAAGATGTTCTCAATGTGAAACCAGTTCTTTTAAAGCAAAATGCACCCGACATGGATGCCTTTCAGCAAAGACTTTTTAATTCTCAGCGTGAAACCTATTTTTTGTTGAAA